CGACAAAAAATCTATTTCTATGTCCTTTCACCTCCATAGTGTCCCGGTGAGCAGACAACAAAAATAATAATTGCTGTTCGATCACAATCGTGCTCTCTTTATCAAATAATAGATGGAGTATATCATTTTAAGTCTATTATTTTAATGGCAATAAAACATGATAAAACCAAGTTTTAGTTGATAAGACATTATATATTCTGCTTCATTTTTGTAGACTTTTTTTACCGGAATTATCAACCTGAAGGACACTTTACAGACAGTTTAATACAAAGAGAAAATTTTTACCACTGGACCTAAGGTTTAACACCCCTCAACCCCAATCCCACCCCGCGCGCTCTCAACGCCAAACTCACAGAGACTATAATCACTTACTGAGACATATTAAATTACAATTAACGTAATCGCCATAATAATCTTGACAACGGATAGTAATTAAGCTTTTAATAAAGCTTCAACTTCAGCTGAACTTTGGCGATAACGCCGAAGCTATTTCAAGTTGAGGAAATAGTCCACGTCCAATATAGAGGCTATACATAATCTGTGCAGTCCCACGGGTAGCAGGAGTTCAATTAAAATGTAACTTTGGCCTATACTAAGTTAAATTGTGGGTGGAAATGTGCATCATATTTCTTTGATCGAATCATAATACATTTACACGTGGAAGGGGCTGTAGGTTGCATTCTATCTAACCAAAGCAGTAATTGACTTCACATCAGACCATGCGTTCCCGAATCGCAAAAGGTCGCAAAAGGTCGATCGATGCAATAATGTGTTATGACCAAGGCTAAGCGGCAATAATACGCTCTTTGCATTGAAATCACGACAGAGCTGGGCCAGTTAGAAAAATAGGCAAGTAGGCATATGCCCCCCCAGAAAAGTTTACCGCGTAAACGGTGCCAATTGAGTCTTTTTTATGAGAAAATGAACAAGCTTGCACTTAAGTGCTGGTTCATAATTTATAGTGCTATTACTATTGTGATTTGGCATCGTTAAGCGCTCCAAATTGTTACTACATACATTTTTTCCGCGCAGGTGTGACCGACGCGTAATATAGAGCAGTCGTTTTGAAAGTTTAGGTCAAAATTCGAGTCAAAGAGGCACTGATTTGCAAAAGATTCACCAGCAGGATAAAACTGATAAAACTCACAATGCTGCACTCTCGTGGATTGAATATCTGAGTAGAGAAGAACATCTTTCATCTGTTAGATTTGTCGAGGAATGAAAAGGAAGGCCTTACTACAATGTAGCTTACAGGGGTTTCTTATAACCGACGTGTTAACTCTGCTGACAATGTACATGTAGGATGGAGAATAGCTGAATCGTGGTACACGTCTGTTTTATTCTTCAGATTTTTAGGTAGGTTCCGTTTTTGTTGTCTCCAGAATTAAGTTTTGTTGCAGAATTAATTAATTAATTTAAAAGGCAAAATGATACTTTTGGGGAATAATTCTAATGGAATGTTGCATTTTGCAGCAAAGAAATGATGCCGTCGTCTGAATTTTTTATGAGGGGAAAAATGAATTGGCCCTAATTATGCAACTTGTCAGCTGCATTTCTTCACATCGGAATTCCAGAATTAATGATAATAAATGAAAAACGGTAACGAGATGATAGTACATCGGGTAGATATTTATCATTTTATCAGATTTCCCTCTTCCTTCTTGTAAATTTTGAATTCAATTAAGTACAGGTTCGGCTGAAGGGTTATTTAATCCAAATAAAAACGACTATAAAACTGAAAGGCGTCAATGGAATGACTCACGGTTTTCCTAGAAACGAACTATACGGCAGCCCTGGAAACTGAGGCACAATCAGCAGTTGTTGGGGTAGTTACAACGATAACAATTTGCTTTACTGGAAGATAGTAACAATTGAAGATTATACGTATGTATGTATGTATGTATGTGTGTATGTATGTATTGATTGACATCAAATACAAAGATTTTACACGAATAAAAAAAGAAATGAAAAAAAAAAAAAAAAAAAAACGAAGTTAGGTCCCTGTTTACAGCCCATAGTCTACATGCTCTGTCTTTTCCTGTCGGATTAATTGGTATCTTTATTTCAGCTGACAATGAGGGCGTTCTTTTTTTATAATTTCACAAAATGATAAAGCTCACTCAGTAAACGGAAAAGAAAAAACTGTCGCGTGCCGCAATGTGAATTTGTTCCACCTGGCGTCTTGTGTAGAAATGATGAATGACTTGTTGTTCAATTGCTGTGTTTCCGCACGTAACCAAGAGAAACTAATTCATGATGTCAATCGTGGAAGAGAATTATATTTAATAATTTGTGTACTTTTATCTGAACTGACAGCGAGGTGGAATCAACAAGAAAAAGGAGAGAGGATTTCCTATTCACAAGGCTAGATAATTGCACTTACTTGACAGATTTGTTCGCGGAACGTTTTAAAGGTGGTTGGTATGTTTGTATAGTTTATGTTTGTAAGCACTGACTTTTAAAAAAGATTACGGCAAACCGTTACGGCAAACCGTTAGAATGAGACTCAGGCTTATCGTGTATGGGAACATGTCAACTCCTACGTCTTTTAAGCTCTCTGCACTTGNGATAATTGCACTTACTTGACAGATTTGTTCGCGGAACGTTTTAAAGGTGGTTGGTATGTTTGTATAGTTTATGTTTGTAAGCACTGACTTTTAAAAAAGATTACGGCAAACCGTTACGGCAAACCGTTAGAATGAGACTCAGGCTTATCGTGTATGGGAACATGTCAACTCCTACGTCTTTTAAGCTCTCTGCACTTGCATTGAATTGCAATTTTTCAGCGTGCTAGAGATATTAATTTAATTCCCCTTACGCCTATGGAAAACTTACAAAGGGGAATGTTTGAAGAGGCTTACTGATATATGCTACGGTATTACTGCGTAGTTTTACTGATAGTCCGCTACAGAAACTACAGACACCGCCTTGTCATATTTTTTCTGGTCATCTTTCGCAGCTTTGTTTTCTTCATATTCGAAGGGTTCACCTGCAGGTCTGCTGTTATCACTCGAAGCCAGGATTAGATTACTTGTTGTTCATTAATTAAGTTATCGCAGTTCTAAGGACTGCATGTGCGCGCTTTGAGTCGCTTCGCTGGGTTAAAGAAGATATCAACCTGTCGCAATAAATATGTTATTGCACATTAGGGCATTATCTCAAAAAAAGGGGGAGAGATTGATGGGCACTTTATGAAGAACATTTGGCTGTTAATCTAGACTTTCTTTTAAGTATTGTTTATAACTTTGGCACCACTTGTGAACGGTATTTTGTAAGGAGAGGAAGCTCCGATTGCGAGACTGAAGGGGGGGGGCGTTGATGCATGTACAGATGTAAGTATCGTGGTCGTAGCAGTGAAAATGTGCGCGTAATAATATATTGCACAGAAAAATTGTTTTACGCATGTGGACATGTGTCCGCTCACCTTAAATGTGCCTACGTATTGTAGGAAAAGAATATTCTCTCTCTCTCTCTCTCTCTCTCTCTCTCTCTCTCCAACCATTAAGTGCAATCTTTTCAGAAAAAAAGCTTTTTCACGGTTCATCACCATGTTGTTTGTCATCTTAATTAAAAATCCTGTCATTTTTCGTCAAACCAATCAAATACTCTTCTCGTTTGCGTTAATTGAGTAAAATTCTCAGGGCTACCCCTTAAAAAAATTGTTTACAAAATGGAAGATCGCGCACTACCAAGAAAGCATTTCTCAAAATGGATGGCTGGTGCATTACCAGAAATGTTTATTCCAAGAACAAACTTTTTCTGAGGACAACAAGAGGCTAAAGGGTTGCCAGAAGGAGTAGATAAAAGGCAATAGCTTCCACTGATATTACAGATACTGTAACGAGCTCAGAACAACTTTCAGGGCAAACAGAAAACAGGTGCGCTGTAACCAAATGAGTTTAATAAGAACGCAAGATTTAACTAGGGATGTAAGGTAATTTAAGGTATTAGAATAGGTTCATGTTCCACTAGTACACCCTTTCCTTGGGGAAGCTTTTATTCGATTATCGTCAGTCAGTTAAATGTTAACAAGAATGTCAGTTTATTTATTTATTTATTTATTTATTTATTTATTTATTTATTTGTCAGGTGCTACAGATCAAGTGTGTTGATATTTTTAAGTTCAGTCAGGGAATTTATGGATTCATAAGATATCATTGGTATTATACTGTTGGGCTTTTTGTCTAAAGTCAAGTAACTACATCTTAAGTTCATCTGACGGAAAAAATATATTTTGGGTTTACTTATGTAAGAAATATGTTATGCACTTTTATACTTATTTTTTACTGAGTGCAAAATATATTATCTGATAATCCAGTTATAATCTTAGTTAAATGCTCTGTTTTCTATTTTGTTGAAAAGGTTTAATCCGCACATTTCAAAAATTTCAAAATATTGTATTTAGTAACTAGGGAGTATTTGTATGTTTTATTTGTCTATCTCCACAGACAGCATGGGAAGCCTCATTGATATCTGGACAGCAAAAATTCAAGGAACAAAATATTTTTCAGAACATGTTTTCTTTGCACAAACCAAAAGTAATCATTGTCCGTTACCAGGGTAACCACTTAATAACAGTAAACAGTTTATTTTCTGGACTGAAAGCACACGTGGTGGCTTGCTGGATACACCTTCAATGTTTGTGTAAATTAAGGTCGGAGCATAGAATCCTAAGTCAACACTTTGTCAAAGAGCTTGGACACAGCCAAAACAGTTTCAGGATTTAAGCACTTCACTCCAAAGAAAATGTTTTAATATGAAAGGACGACGAGCAGTTTAAGGTTTCGGCATACATACTTTACGATTTGATAAAACAGACCTTGAAAATCGGGGCAAAATATATTTTTTCATCTGTTGCGAGGTTTCAGCGCTCTCGGCATTCGCTTTTATCCCAGATAACTATTTGGACTTTAAATCTGTGCATTTTCTATTTCAAAACCAATAATATAAAGTAACCATGAGTATTGCGATGTTTAACCGTTATTTTCCCTCTTTTTCAGTCACCTGCCACATAGTTGAGTGAAGGATCACAAGTAATTTTTACCACGGTATTACAATGTCTGAGCTAACGGTGTATCTTCTCACGGCACTGGTCTTAGGGATGCTGCACACGTGTACCGGACAAGGTGAGACATTTCTATCTTAAATTGTGCAAAAAAGGTGAAGAGTGACTCTTTTTTTCTTGCCTACTTGTCTTAAATAGAGTTACGTTAGATTAGAACCAAGACGTGTTATTGCTGATAAATGTCGTTGCTCTCATTTTCACTCCCATCGTTGCATTGTATTCTTATACACACGCACAAGCATGCGCGCACACTCACATACACGCCAGCTGGCACACGCATAGGCATAGGCCTACCATATTGAAATTACTACCCTAGGGACTTACAACGTATACAGTAATATTAATGCAATTGTCAGTTTTGACTTCTTAAGTGAATCCGTCACTGATATTTCAATTACAAATACACTGATAAAGATAGTGTCATAATTAAGATATCATGTCGTACAGATGAACTAATTTCTTTCACCTATCAGTCTTAAACGACACCTTAAAATACACCGATTTAAGGTCACGTTTTTTTAATGCAAGCACCAAAAAATAATAATAATAACACATCTAGATTGGCAGCTGCTCTAACTCCCTTTGGTGCTTATTGCGAAAGAGAGTATCCACAGATAAGAAAAGACACGAGAAAGCTTTTAGAGAAGTTTTAAGGTGAAGAGCCTTCAGCACACCTCTTTCAGACGTGTTATCTGGTCATCTGGCTTATTTCCACCGCGTCGGCGTCGGGAGGGGCGCAAGGCTTATGAGAGGTTTTTAAAACAACAGTATGCCCCTCATCCCTACCCAAACTACTTGCAAAAAATAACTGTCCTGATCTCTCCTTTGATCCTGGAGAGACGGGTGTACCCTGAATGTAAAGGTGCGATTCACGTAATGCCTTGACGCGCCTTGGCGGAGGGGACATGTCATCCCCCTCTTCTCCAAAATAATAAAAAATAGTATATCATATTTTCGCTTTGGTTTTGTCCTCGAGTGAATAGGAAAATAAAACAAAAATAAAAAAAAAATAATAATCGAAAAAATACAATAGAGAGAAGTGCTAATCCAGCACGTATCTTGCTGTGAAATACAGGCTGTTTGATGTATGATTTCCATACATCATTTTCAGTTTATCCTTATGTTAGCTACCGGATATTTCGTTCCAGTATTTATTGTCTATTAATAACATTCGGTGATAAATGATGTCTGCGTTTATCAAAGGTAAGAGTATATAAGTAGTGGTCCTTTTGATCGTTTGGTAATTTATTGTTCAGTTGAGTTAGTCTGATGATTACTTGCGCAATTTCGCTCTCCAGTTTCATCCATTATCTTTCTTTATTTCTCATTTGTTGTTTACCATTTCATCTTCTCAGTCTTTCTTTTTGGGTTTCATTACAAGTAATTAACTATAGTCTTGCCACTTAAGTCTTGAAGCGAATCTGCATGTTATGGTTGAAACGAATTGGACATATATGAATTAAAAAGAAATAGTATGGGCTGCAGCTATTTCGATTGAGAAAGTCGGCTCATATAATGCACGAAGGCTTCAAAATAGACGAGGAAGTAAAATAAAAAATTAATTAATTCTGTAAGAGCTATAGTGAGTAAGACAACAAGGTTTCTATGAATGAAAAAGCTGAATCCAAAAAAGGCTCATGAGGTGCCGTGCCTGTTAAACTGAATGGAAGACAAGAAGAATTCGAAACACACAGAAAAGCAGACGTGGTGAACTGTGGTAGCACACCGGAGTGGGTTCAAACCTAAATATTTGGATCTGGTTGATAGATCTTGAAATGTTGCGTGAAAAACATGCGTCCTCTTAATAAAATAACATGCACCCTTCCTTAAGGTCAGAGACAACATATTCCAATATATTTTAAAGTTGTAGATTTAAGGCGCTTTTCGTGACTTCGGCCACTTACGGGGGCTACCAGATTGTCTTATGTCCTTAATAATAGACCAAGATCGCCCACTCATACTAGACGATTGACACTATTTTTCAACTCTGTTACGAAATGTTTACGTCTTAGCATCCGAACAAGGCTTTTTAGATAGAAAGATAGATGACTAGATGGGCATTCTAATAATAGCCTGCCTGAATATTTATAGACACTTATCTTACCGTTGCAGGAAAAATATAATCAAGATAAATATGAATGACGTTTAATTTTTCTTTGAGTCTACTGGTACGTCGGGAAGTCCTAATGTATTTTCAGATTATTCGTGAAATTTGTAAACATTTTAGCATGGCTGGTGCACTGGCATGTTTCTATAGGGGTGGGGGCTCATTCGAGGATGAAAATTTGAGATATATCAAGATTCTACTTTCTACTTTAATGTGATAGGTAATAAGGATGGGATGGTTTTGGTCTATCTAGTTTTTTTCTTTCTTTCTTTTATTTTTATTTATTTATTTGTTCGTTGGGGGAAGGGGGGAGGGTGAGGAGAGACGCTTACGAAGCTTAGGTTGGCCGGCTGTCCCATCTCTATCTGTTGGGTAAAGTTGCTGACGTAAAGTGATAAAAAGCACATTATTTTCATAGTTCACACTTTTATTTTTAAGCTAGAATAAGATTTCTACGTGAAAGATAAAGATATTTAATAAAAAAAAGAACAAAACTTTAGCTTTGACCCCGACGTGATTTGAACACGCAACCTTCTGATCTGGAGTCAGACGCGCTACCGTTGCGCCACGGAGTCGTACTTATTTGCGTTTGAGCTTTAACTCAACCCAATATAAATGTAGCGAAGCTGGCCTACATTCTGTAAATCAATTATCAGTTGGATGCGCTGTATCTGCCTAGAGACAGAAGAAATTGCTCATAACGTGAGATAGAGCAATAATCATAAATATTATCAAAATAGCATGCAGAAAACCAGGTACTGGAACGACATTGTTGAGACCAGATAGAGAATGCTAACGAAACGGGACTTTGTTATCAAAAATATTTTCACGGTTTCTTCTCCGCGTGGGTCTAACAAGGGAAAAATAACCAGTAAATATTATTTCATTGCTTCCATTTTATTGTTGTGTGTTTTCTTCAATTGGTGTAATTTTCTTTTTATTTTGGCCTTGATTTCGCAAATAGGAATGTTGAGACTATAAATAACATTGGAAGATACGTGAGAGGTAGGGGCCTAAATCGGGCTGTAGGCCTACGCCCGGCAGATATAGGCCTAGTATAGAGTACGGTACTCTTCTGCTACGATCTACTAAACAGTATAACTAGTACAGGACTTTCTTTCATAAATACATCAAATAAATCATAAGAAAACATGAATTGTATAATCACATAATATTCTGCGTATTCTCGAATAAAAAAAATGCCCCATCTTACAGAAGAACAGAAGCTTCTTCAAAATGTTAATTGGAGAGAGACCGAAAGCTTCATCATTATTTATTTATTTATTATTATTATTTTTTTTTGGGGGGGGAGGGGGTAAATGAATATAAACAAGGTGTGCGTGTGCATGTGTGTGCATGTGTGTATGTGTGTGTGTGTGTGTGTGTGTTTGTGTGTCAGAGAGGAGGTATCGCACAGCTAATTTATTTTGATCATGGCCATGTTTTTAATAACAGTCCAGCAGTCTAGCATTCCAAGTGGACTGAGGTTTCAACGGCTGTCGTGAGTTTCATAAATGGCTGTTTTAATACAGCCGCTACCAAAGCTATGCGGGCACGACACAAATACATCAACAACGATGGGTCACTACGGTCGATTCCTCCTTTGACAGAAGACAGTGTTTTTAATGGCCTAGCACTATTCATATGACTGAAGTATCAGGATAGCGTTGACATGATAATCTACTTTTAAGACGCGTTCTGTTGTCGCTGGATCCCTGGTATTAAATAGATAATGGTAGTTGGGTTGATATTTTTTTTACTGAGTCACGGAATTAAGTAGAGCATACAAATCCTGACAAAACGTTTGCGCTTGAATCAACATATGACTTTGTTTATTAATCTTCATCTTTTGTCATGCAGTAATAACCCTTGCATGTATAATCAAGGGTAGTGTGACTTGGTATCAATAGAAATTAAACCATTTAAATAAATGCTACACTTTTAGGCGTAAATGTTCTCTTTATGAAGCTCGGGTCCAGCACAAAAGGACTCTATGGCCCACCAACATCGAAAATGCAGCATGAGAACCAAAACGATATCATGCACATTAGGCCTTCATATGGCAAGACAAAATACAACAATGTCCCTCTTTATCAACAATTAAGCTACCGCTATATAGTTTACTATTGAAATAAGTTATTGGAACCTCGTATCTTCAAAAGGGGTAATTAGACTAACAACAGTTTTTGGATATATATATATATATATATATATATATATATATATATATATATATATAGACACACACACACACACACACACACACACACACACACACACCTGTAGTGTGCCCACCACAAGCTCAGGAAAGTTATTATTATTATTATTATTAATATTATTATTATTGCTACGTGGTGGGCTAACGCTCATTATATGCTTTTATAAGAATAACAAAACAATTTTTGAGATCAATTTTCTATAAGGAAATATTTCCTTTATTTATTCCAGGAGCCATCTCATTCATAGGTACGCCATATTTTGCCCGAGTGTACCCAGGAGCGCCTGCGGGAACCCACGTGATCACCGTAACAGCAGTGCCATCTAGCGGCATCACAACCGGGCAACCGATACGCTACTATATTTCGAATAACGCTAACAAATATTTCTCTATAGACCATACCAGTGGAAAAATCGAGGTGAAGAAATCATACTCTACTTCAAAGGGACAGCAGTTCATTTTCGACGTAATTGCCAGACAAGGATCCAAGATAGGACAGACAAGAGTTTCTGTAGAGATATCAGAAGAGAATAAATATCCCCCAGTTTTTTCTCGTCCGTCTTACAACACTGTCGTATGGCGACGAAGTAGCGTCGGAACAACGATTCTGATTGTCAGTACGTCGGACAATGATACGGCGCCGTACAACCGACTCGTAAGGTACAGCGTCAATGCGACAAGCAGTGACTCTTCATATTTTTCGATCGACCCCAGAAGCGGAAAGGTTAATCTCAGACAGCAGCTGCCGCAGGCACAAAGTGTGACACAAATAAAGGCCACTATAGTCGCTACAGACCCAGGTGTGCCTGAAATGACAGCTTCTGTAACGCTGTCAGTGAATATTTCTTTAATATCAGGTAGGTGCTTAATTTGAAAGTGGATAAGCACAAAAGCTTTCTTCTCGATACTAATTGTTTTTGTGTTTTTGTGATAGCACCAAATTGCAGCTGTTAGCCCACTTTTTCATCGAACAGAAATTAGAATTGCCTTTCATCAATTGTTTGTTGCAGATAATTAATTGGAGATTCCTTTTCTACCGTAAACCATGAGAAAAGTCTGCCTGAAACAAGTATAACCTACCAATTTGTGTAATTCATTTTCCTCATGTATTTATTCCTCAGAACCAACACAACTGGAAACAAAATTTTCAAATGAGACAACAGTATTGTTGTGTTGGCGCGAGCCAGCGCATGGTTCACAAATCAAAGGCTATCTGGTGGAATATTGGCCAATTGAAAGCTACGCTGCCAGGAGGTCTGAGACTGTAAGGGCGGACAAATTTTCCTCTCTCTACTGCACGACGGTGGGAAATCTGACATCTTGGGACGTGTATCATTTTCAAGTATCAGCATATAACGATGATGGCTACGGTGTTCCAAGCGTGATTCCAAATGTTCCGACTGTTCCACGAGGTGGTACGTATTTTACCGTAGTTTGATTGAATGTTGAACTTTCATGTGTCCAACCTGTTATTATGGTTTTGAATTTTACTACTTTTACAAATTTGCGCAAACATGTATATAAATAAAGGGTTTACTAAACTATATTGGTTATTGCTTCAAATTGACCAACGATAATAAGTACTAGTAATGTTTCTTTTTTCAAACGTTGTAGTAGGCCTACATGTGAATTAATCAATAATACCAGTTTAACAGTATAGCTCTGAGCAACAACTACATATAGATGTTTTTCCTCAAATGAAACTTCACCTCTTATTTGTTTAATTTCCTTTTTTTTTTTGCCAGTGTGTGGCCTCAAGCCCTGTCGTAACGAGGGTACCTGCGTCCCTGTCAGACAGCGTCCGGGATTCAAATGCCAATGCAAAGAAGGTTATTATGGGAGGATTTGCGAAAGGAAAACAGCATGTGCCTCACAGCCTTGTCTAAATAACGGCCAATGTGTCCCTTTGAACTTGCGAGGGCCGACTTTGGGCGCTTCTATTACGGCAGCTTTTATCCTTTCATACAGATGCCGATGTCCGCCCGGGACGTCCGGCAAAAACTGTGAACACGTAGCTGCATGTTTTTCTAATCCCTGCCAAAACCTTGGCTCTTGTATAAATCTGAAAAGCAACAAATCCTATGCATGTCGTTGTNTAACCTGGATTCAAATTACACTATACGTGACCGGCTTCTTGGACAAACAACGCCTATTCTTTAGTTTTGGATACCTGTAACTGACTTGGTTGTTTGAGTGGATTATCTACATATTGATTTTTCTGATAACTGACTTTAAATGAAAAGTAAGAAAGTTGCCGATCCATCTACTTAATTTTAGGCACTATATTTTTTTTCTTTAAGTTACATTAAAATTTCTATCGTTTGCATCACAAAAAGCCCATTTCCAATCATCTGCATTGCTGTTGCCTTATATATATACTGAACAAATTCCCCTTACTTACCCTCCGGGTCGCTGCGAGTTGTACGGACGGCCTGGCTCGGTAACTATGGAAATAACATTGTCATCCATACGCTGTTTGGTTTTTGTTAACAATAGTACCATGCCCTGCCCGTCGGGTAATTATTGTGACAAACTTTCTGCTAACAAAAGAGCCAAACCCTAGCTCGCTGAGATAAAGATCGAAGCTGAGCGTGGTCGCAATTTTAAAGTGTTCGTCCGAGCGTTAATTGACCTTTAATGCGCGGCGGCTTCACTATACTTTGATCACTCTACTCTGATACGGAGATTTTAAGTATAAGAACTCGCCAACAGTGATTTTTAAAAGTCACTTTACCAAAAAGATTCGGTGATGAAAGCAACTTTCGTGTACATTGTAGCTATGAATTGATTGAATTAAAATAGAGTTTAATAAATGTATTTATGAATTTATAAAAGATCAAATAAAACACTACTTGCACATGTAATATTTATTAGGCTTCAAACCGACTTTACTATATACATATTATTAACAAGATTGAAATTTATTTTTATAGTATGTCCTTATATCTCTATTAGCTTAGTTCATGGATGAAATGCATTTTTTTCCAAAAAGACTTGTCAGATGTTTGAGTAATAAACATTTTGTAGGCCATCTTTAATATAATTCAGTCTATATTTGCATATAGGATCTCTCCCATCTACACCCGCAACATTTCTGTCCTTTTGTATTGGTTCATCAACAGTAAACAATCTCCCCATTAACTGAACGCAAAAGTTGCCTGGGGAACTGGCCCGTTGTCGAATATCAAAAATGTCTTTATTTGACAAGGCGAATGGTGGCCGGCCGAAAGACCGTATCACACCAAGTAGGAAGTGCGTACGTGACCGGCGTAAATATTATTAAAGACTTTAGCCCAAATTTTGATACAACTGTTTCTCTTTCATTCTTTGATATTAACTCAGCTCATAGGAATAGTTCGTCTTTACGATCTAAACTCCAACCTTAACCAAAAACCTTCTTCACAATTAAAAGCAGCAGAGAATATATATAAAAGCTGGATAACAATATCTCGGGCTTACTTCACTGTATGGTACGTGTCATCTCACATTAATTAACAATCAGTTCAGGTTAGCTTTATTCATGCCGGGTGAACACAGTGATTAAGCTCTGACTATTACATAAGCACTACTGTGTGACACGCGTCGTCTAAAATTAATGGTAACATTGCGATGACGCTCTTCAATCCAAACTATTCAATTTTACCTAATTCTCAATCATATGGCACGTGTCATTAGTGTGTATCTTGACTTCCTAAATGGCCAGTAAGTATTTTGTATAATATGACATGTTTATGTCACTGAAAATTAAGGCCATAATATGTCGCGACAAGGCATTACTATGTGTTGAAGAAATACGACGAAGGGTTTGGTATTGCCGATAAGACACGCAGTGGACGTCCTTCAAAGGTTGACCTGCGCCACATGAACGTTATAGACGAGGAGATGACCAAGAATGATGAATTGGTGGCCTCATAACTAAAAACACGTCTCTTTGAGCGAACAGGTAATTTTATTGAGCAACATGGTATTAATTGGTTTCGCACCCCTCTAGAAAGCCCCGACATTAATCCTATTGAAAACGTATGGGCTGAAATAAAACATTACCTGTGTACGCGTGTTAAGCCTTCCACGAGAGAACAACTTGTTGAAGGCATTAGAGAGGCATGGGAAAATATTAACGCAGAAAAGTGTAATAAATATATTAATCACCTAAAGAAGGTGATTCCAGCGGTAATTGAGAGAGAAGTCATCAGGCTACTAAACTAGCAACACGTAATAAAGATAATAAGACATTGATATTTATTTGATGTATTAGCTATTTAAAATTTTCCATTTTAACTACGCTTGTGTTGATCGTGACTTATTATCATCAAGTGAACTTCAAATAAAATTGTTATACGTGTTTTAAAACCAAGCCTGATTTGTTCTTTAGAGTTTTGTTCTCATATTCGACCTGCCTTTACTCTAGTCTTCTGTTGCAGTTGATATAACATAACCCGGTATTGTTTGCTCGCGTCGATAGCAATCTCCTTTGCATCAGCTATAGGTTTGTTTGTTTATTTAAGTGACCTGTGCTATAATGCAAGTAATACAGATACATTTTTTTCTTTTTGCACCCAGCCCCAGTGGGCTTATAAGTCACTATTTAATTTATATTATTTTAATGTATTAATGATCAAGAAAAAAATAGAAACAATAAATAATATTCTTTAACCACGGCTAGCGCGTAGAACAAAAGACTCGGCCGCTGTATTCGACATACAAGCACGTCATGTACGAGTGCGTTCCACGGTCTGTTGCACTACTAGTGTAGTAGCCAATCAGAGGCCGTGGTTTAAGCCAGATACAACACTCGTCACCGAGCTGTACGTGAAATTTACTCGTGTATTGTCTCGCCTGCGGCTCGCCAATACACTCGTAATATTTCACGTACAGCTCGGCGACTCGTATTGTATCTATCACATAATGATGTTCATATCATCCGGCGTTTCACTGAATATAGCAATGTCGTCTGCGTACAACAATATATCTAGTCTAATGTCACCTACCATTACCCCTTTTCCAAGTGCTTTTATATCCTGAGCAAGGAGTTATAACAGATTGTTTATTTGGGGGTGGCCGGCTCATGTCTTAGTTACACTAACTCTTATCAAAATAACACGACCCAGGACTGGGCCCCTGGGGACGTGTGTTTTGACAGCGCCCCTGGTTCAAAGCTTAGAGATTGCTTTTTGGACGTTAGAGTTGCTGTATAAAAGTCCCTTTAATTAGTGATCACGTATTACTGAAGAGATGAAAGCTGTGATAGAACGTGTCTGTACTATAATTCTGATTCGAATTATGTAATAAAATGCCGTGTTCAAAGTTATCGGCCTGTTTTTTCACTTCAGTAAGATGTGAGAGAGGTGTCTCGCCTCTGTATGTGATTGACCTGAAGAGCCGATTGTACGAACTACGCACAGTGCGGCGGGGGAACAGAAAAAAGTGGTGGGAGGTTGGACTGGTTGCAGAAAGCGCTTTTCGGTCAACAAGTGACCTTCATCAGCTGCAGAGTCCTAAAAAAGGGGGGGGTTGGGAGGGGTGGTCAGTACTGTGTATAACCTTATGGTTATCACAGGATGGAGTGTTCGTCCTGGTATTGTAGGACTTTCTCCGCAAAGGTTTCTCGCCTTTGTATGTGACTGCTTATGCAGAGTAAGGTGCACAAGTGTGCTAGGACGTCTTGTCCCGACAAAGGTGTCTCGCCTTTGTGTGTAGCTGCTTATGTAAAGCAAGGTGCACAAATGTGCTAGGACGTCTCGTCCTGACAAAGGTGTCTCGCCTTTGTGTGTGTGTCTGCTTGGCAGATCACCGTGAGGAATGCGTGCACAAGGTTTCGCTTGTGACGATTTCCGTAGTTACACAAAAGTGTCTCGCTTTTGTGGCAGTGGTGCTTACAGATAGCGGCACAGTAGAAGTGGTGAGGACAGTCACCTGCTTGGTCTGTGGTCACTATTGTGAGCTAGTGGGTTCTGACCGCGACGTGTTGATTGCTTAATAGTCGAGTGAGAACTGTCTGTGCAGGTGGCTTCCCGGCCTCTAAATAGCCCCTAGTGTCCGTTGATTGGTTGACAGACATGGCCTCTTCTGATTGGATAGTGTCCATTCTGTAATAAGGGATTGAGGTGTGAGGTTGTCTGGCGGACACCTAGATCTAGAAGTAGTGTTCTAGGAGGGTTGCCTCTGTAGGATACGTTTACGACCAGACGGCTTGTTATGTGCGTTTTAAGATCTCGTTTCTTTGAAACAGGTTTTTAAGAAAAACGGTATAGTGGATAGTAACGTGTGTGCGTTTCAGTAGAGACATCCATGTTTGGAGCGATTTGAGCATTTCTGTTGCCCTTTTAGATTTGTTGAGTTCATTTCCCCGTGTCTTTTTCTGGGGGGGGGGGTTAATTTGCCCTTGGGTGGTGTAGGGATTAAGGAAAGATATTATTTCTCCTGAGAGTAGAAGTTGAGATTTCTCGCTTAAGGTGTGTGACAAGAGGGTGTTCTTTATTTCTTGCTTTATTTAGCATTAGAACATTAAGGTATAGCTTTTCCTGATCATATGTGTAGCCCTGAAAAGGGCTGTTGTTTTGTAATGGGTCTTCTTCTCAGAGTCTTTTAAGGGTGGCGGTTGTCTTTTGTTTCGCTTTAGTGGAGATGACGGCTCTTTTCTTCTTCGTCTTCATCTTCAGGAGCAGGTCACGTACTTGTTCTATAAGAGGGGAGTCAGGGGTGGGTGGTGGTTGGTTTAATTCCCGCATTTCATATGTACCATGGACCATGTAGAAGGCTTCCGCCTGGGATTCCCGGGCCGAGGCCTCCGCTAGTTTCCCCTTCGCATTCTCGACGATAGTAGCGATGTGGTGTTCTATTGTCTCTTTGATTTAGGTTGAGGCCTTTTCTTGTATCTCGATGAGCTGGGTAAGAAGGACTTCATAGTCAGGACAGCCCTTAACGTCAACTCTGGCCCGGACGTTATGACTCCCCCCTGGTTAATTGTTTCGTGATGTGCTCGGCCCACTCTTGGCAGCCGGCCGCGTACTGCTTCGCTTCCCTCACCTCTTCACGGTGGGGATTATTTGAGTTTTGCGGCGCGGTCAGGGGTGCTGGGCGTTTAGGG